CACCTCTTACCAGCTATGAAATCTCAAGCAAATTATTAACCTCAACCCCTGTACCCTGATTTTGTTTTTCTTCACAGCACTTATCGTCACCTGACATATATTTGTTTGTGTGTGTGTTCATCATCTGTCTCCTCCAACCAGAAAGTAAGGAGCAAGAGGGCAGGGACTGTTTTGTTCACTGCTAAACAAGGGGACAGTCAACACGTGTAACCATCAGCCATCATGGGTGCTGACCATTCAGATGGGTATTGGCCCCATATGTCATAGAGGTGCACACTGTCTGTATATCAAACATGGCTGTACTCCGGTTCCTGTGACAGGGCCTGGAATGTATAATAGGTGCTCAGTAATACGTATTACAGTAAAACCTTGGATTGCGAGTAATTTGGTTTGCAAGTGTTCCGCAATACGAGCAAACATTTCTAATACTTTTTAACATGGTAAACGAAAGATGTCTTGCAATACGAGTAGTTTGTTTCTGGAACGAATTGTGCTCTCAAACCAAGGTATTACTGTATATCAATTTGTAAGAATTATATTTCTAGCATTTCTTAATATATTTTGCATGGATTATCTCAAATCATTTATGCTTAAAATCAATTTTTCCATTGCATTTCTTTCCTTTTTCTCTGCTTCTGTGTTATATTTTTTTTCTCAGAGAAACCTTGTTTACTTTCAATGTAGTGTGTTTGACAAGAGCCATCTTGGCGCTGAGGCATTCTCTATTTCCTCAACACACAAAAAGATATCTTCTCTCCACAGCAGGGATAAACGTGCTATTCTGTTCTCTTCCTGGTTTGTATTATGTTATTGTTTGCTTCTTTCTTTAATTCTTTGGACCAATGTTTTCAATGTATAAAAATGAAGCATAATGCTAAGGTCTCAATAATGTTTCTTACACTAAAATTGCTTGCAACATTGTGGTTTTGCTTCTCATTTTACGTTTTCTGTATTCTGCTGGTGAGAATCACTTTCTCAAAGTCTAGACTAGCAAATGGTCATTTTCCAAAGCACAAATATTGAGTAATGCCACTGAAAGATTTTCAGTTCAAAATATATTTGTTAATCTTTTAGTTGGCTAAGTCCACTGTCATTACTTTTTTTTTTAAAGATTTTATTGGGGAATGGGGGAAGGGGAACAGACAAGTTGCTGTCGTTTTGTTCTTCAGTCTAGTTGTGGAGGACGTTGCTTCACTGGCCCAAGTTGGCACCATCATTGCGCTCTTCCGGGTGAGGCAGATCAGTCTCTGGCTTCTAGACGGCTGCTCGCTGTGGCTGCTGGCCGCTCATGCTGGCTGCTGGCTACACACGGTAGCCCATGGCAACCCACTGCCACAGGGGCTGCAGCCTACACAGTCGCCGGCGACTCACAGCAGCCCAGCTCCAGGTTGAGCTGTTGTTCAGCATCTTAGCTGTAGAGGGCAGTGTCACTAGCCCTCATGTGTGGGATCTGAACTGGGGCCCTCTGGCGTCCCAAGCCAGCAGTTAACCATCGCGCCACTTGGCCGGCCCTCCTACTGTCATTACTTTTAAGCATTTCCATCACCGTCTTCTTCCTTATTCACATCATTTGTGCATTCTTGCCCATTTCCCCCCAGGGGGCTTTCCCTACCAGTTCACCAGACTCTGTTAAATACTTCATTAAATTATTATAATGTACAAAACAGTCATCTTGTCTGTTTAAACCTTCCCAATAACGGGAAAGGTTAGCTTTCCATTTCTCCCTGTATCTTCATCTGACTAAGGTTTCGTAATTTTCCCTGAACAAATTTCTTATGTGGTAGGTTAAATTAACTCTCATGTACTTAAAGGTTTTCTGTCATTATTACAACTAATTTACCATGTATGTCAAGAAATTATAATAATAAAAATGATTTTTCAATTCATTTGTCTTCTCCAACTCTTAGATTAATTTCTGTGTATTTTCCCAGTCAATTCTTGACATTCATGATTGAATAGTCACAGTTTCAATAACTTGCAAGAGACTCCGAAAGGTCATGATATGTTATATCATTTTGCTGGGGCTCAAATTTGAATTGCATTGCTGAGAGGAGTAGCCGGCCACTCGGCATAAGGGCAATGCTGGATATTATACATCCATCACTTTCCCCACCCCTTCCCCTTGGAGAGTCACCATGAACACTTGCACATTAAAGCCTCTGAGGAACCTTGCAACAAATAAATTTGTCCCATTTTGCTTGACTCAATGTGTCTCAGACTTGTTGGAGAACAAACATTTTTCTCATGGTACCCAGTATACCATGAGACACCAGCCTGGGAAACAACGGTTTAATAACGCAGAGAATGATATGAGTCAAAAGTCATTTACAAGAGTTCTGCCCCCATGTAACCTCATCTATACAGAAGACATTATATGCAATGATGATGTGCTTGAGTTGGGAGCCTTCCGAAGTTTTTGAGACCTACCGTGCACAAGAATATATTCTTGTATTCTCTGCAAATGTGATATTTTCCTTTCTTCATTTCCCATGTCTGTGCAATTTGCTTTCCTCGCTGCATAACTATTTCAGCTATTTTACTTTATGTTACTTGTTCATTTAACAAACACATCTGCGGTGCTCACTGTATACTGTTCTAAGTACTGTTAATAATGACTCATGTAACCTAAACAACCTCATGAGTTAAGTGCCATTATTACTATTACCCCAGTTTTACAGGTCAGAAAACTGTAGTTTCAAACAGTTCTTTCCTAGATCCTATTCTTTAAGGAAGAGGCCCCAACTATTTTCCTTTAGTCATATTATTGGTTCTAATTATGAGCATAAATTTCATATTATGTAAAGGAATAAAACCTCCATTCTTTTTTATTTGTTTTTTAATGCGTCTTTAGTCAACAGTAAATACTGAAATGTGCTGATTACCTTTCTTCGCCTCTATTGAGATAATTATGTTTTCTACCATTTTTCAATTAATATTAATGAGGTATTATGCTTGCTTTGCTCTTCTGAGGCCAACAGTCCTTGTTTATATTGGATTACTTGTTTCAGTGCGCTGTGTTTTCTGCATTAAGATTTTATTTGCTAGCTCATAGATGAATTGAACAACCATTCCTTTCTTTAAGATGAGGGGATGCAAATCATATTTACCCCAACCAAGTCAATATAAAAATACTAAGGAAGTGGTTCCCCTGTGACCCTGCACTACACACCATAGGACATGAAAGGTTCAAAATGAGCATAATATGAAAGAGGGCAGTGAGAAGGGAAATATCGTCTCTGGCCATATGGGAAAAGAAATGCTAGAGAAGACAAGGTTTTTGAGAACATTATAAATTCCCAGGATCTGTACAACTTAACATTCATTTTCTGTTACCTCATTTCAGTTTCCCCCTAAGATATTACTTAAATAGAAGAGGCCCCAGGTCGACTGAGTGAGCACACACACGACAAAGGTACCTCTGTGAAGGCAAAGTCTGCATCCATCTCGCTGGTGGGTATATGGCCACCATCTAGCCAAGCACCTGGCACATAGTAAGTGCTCAATAAATTATTATTCATAGAAAAACATAATTATTAATAATTATTGAAAGAAAGAAACGAGCCAGCTCTTTGACCAAACCAACTGGTCAAGGTGGTTTTGAAAACGCAAGGCAGGGCTGGCCGAGTGGTGCGTTGGTTAAGAACTGGCTTGGGACGCCAGAGGGCCCTGGTTTGGATCCCACATATGAGGTCCAGTGACACTGCCCTCTACAGCTAAGATGCTGAACAACAGCTCAACCTGGAGCTGGGCTGCCGGGAGTCGCCAGGCGACCGTGTAGGCTGCAGCCCCTGTGGCAGTGGGTTGCCATGGGCTACCGTGTGTAGCCAGCAGCCAGCGTGAGCAGCAAGCAGCCAGCATGAGCGACCAGCAGCCAGCGTGAGCGGCCAGCAGCCACTGCGAGCGGCAGTCCAGAAGCCGGCGACTGATCTGCCTCGCCTGGGAAGAGCTCAATGATGGTGCCAGCTTGGGCCAGTGAAGCAACGTCCTCCACAACTAGACTGAAGAACAAAAAAAGACAGCAACTTGTCTGTCCCCCTTCCCCAATTCCCCAATTAAAAAAAAAATCTTTAAAAACGCAAGGCAGCTAGAGACTTGTTCAATAGGTCATCAAGAAAAGGGGTGTTGCAAAGACTTCACCTTCATCTGAAGTCAGTCTGCAGTGGGAGGGAACAGGATGCTTTGAGAGATGGGAACAGGACAGCAGACAGAGTCCCTGGAGTCTGGAGGAAGATAACAGGACCACCAGTTTTCCTGGCAGCATCCACTCCCCTAGAGACAGATCTGAGTGTCTCTGTGGCCCCAGGTACCCCACCTGGACCTGGCAGTTGGCCCTTTGCATCCCAAAGCTCTCAGAGCTTGTGGGGTCAGGACTTAGGGTCAATGAAGGAACACAGAAAAGTTCTCACCTCCTATAACTGTCCCTGACAAGCCCTGAGCCAAGCCAGTCAGTCACCTGATACCAGGTGACCAAAATCCATTCATACTCAGGGAAATAGATGTCATATATGGACTGAATAGATGTATCCCATCAAGTGAGAAAACTTGTCACATCCAGTTCTCTCTTCTCTTTCCATCCTTATTTATGTCTTCATGCCCCCCCCCCGTTTTCTCTACCTTCTCCCCCCTTCCCCACCTCCCACTAAGTCACTTTCTCCTCCAAGCTGTCTCTATTTCCCCTTCTGGGTCTGATGCCCTTAAACCTCTCCTCCATGGCAGATTCCACTGGGCCCTTTGCCCTCTCTCCCTTCTCGCTCCTCTCCCCCTGCCCTGCCCCTGCCCTGCCCTGTCGACCCCCTCGCCCTATCAGCAGGATCCTGTGTGACTGCCTCCTTCGTTTCTCTCTCTTCTTAGTGGGGTCCATAGCAAGCGCTCCTGTTGCTCAGAGATGTGGAGGCAGTTGCTAAGAGACAGTGCAACGTCAGTACCTGGCCCTCGAGGAAAAAAAAAAAAAAAGGAGCGAAAAAGGAAGAGAGGAGGGGGAGAGAGGGAGGGATGGGGAAGGAGGGGAAGACCTGGCAGAAGCCACAAACCCCAGCAGCCTCAGCACCAAGCTGAGTTTCTGGAAAAGGCTTTCGGATTCTATGAACTTTCTTCCGCGCACCCTCCCTCTCATTCTCCGTTTGGGTAAAAGAAGGGGGCAGCACAGGGACCACAGGACGGGAAACCACCGAGGATGCTGCCCCAGGATCCAGGAGCCATGGAGGAGGAGAGGCCGGGGGAGGGGACCAGCCGGGGAGGCAATCTGTTCTCCTGAAGCAGACGCGGGGATTCCAGCGTGAGGGAGGGAGCCCCGTGTCTGCTGCAGATTGATGGCTGTGTCCTTGGAACATAGTAAGTGGGCTCATGAGGGCCTGTGGGAGTGCAAGGCAGAGAGACCTTGGGGCTCAGAAAAATGAGTCTGGAGAAAGGGGAGCTGGGGTGGTTTCCCAGTGGGCGGGATTGAGGCTGGAAGTAATGGAAAGAGAGGCAGTGCCAGACAAGGGGATGGGGAGGACAACTGAGGACAGCGGGTGGGCACCAGAGAGGCCAGGGTCCGCGGAGGGTGCAGGGCGGGCGGCAGGCTGAGGCAACGGGTGTGTCATCCCGCTCTGTCCCTCTGCCTGACCAAGTGTGGGTGTGGGCTCGAGCTGGGGGCTGCGGGGAGAATGGAGTGTCTATGGGAAAGGTTGCTGGGATTTCGGGGTGTGCACTGGGGATGATTTTGGGGTGTGCACTGGGGGCAGGCTGCAAGGGGGCTCTTCAGGAGTGCGTGTGCAGAAGAAAGCTGGAGAGAAAACAGGATGAGTGAGCGCTGGGCAGGGCAAGATGTGTTGGAGTCACGGGAGAACAGTGAGAGAGAGATGCTAAGGGGGTCTGAAAGAGGTATGTGATCGGCCAGTGTGTGTGCATTTTTTTCTTCGAGAGTTGTTCAAGGATGGGGTGTTTGGTGCTAACAGGGCTGGGGCTATGAGAAGAAAATGTGTCCAGCCCAGGACAGACTTAGGAGGATGACTGCAAGTAGGGGCGGGAAGGCTAGTGGGTGACAACCATGTGAGGTGGTTGGGGTCTGAGCACAGCCGTTGCCACACCTGAGAGACAGTCCGCAAAGAACTTTGTGGTTGGTGGCAAAGAGGAGTGAGGAAGGAGTCAGGAACCCAGGGGAGGGGACAGCGGGGAGGAGAGGGCACTGGATTTCTCTGCCTGAGTGCTTTCCTTGTTGACAGAGGGAACCCTGCCTCCGCCTGCTGAACACAAAGCCAGCTGAGATGCGCTGGCTTGGGCAGTCGCCAAAGCTTCTAGCTGACCCCCGTCCTGCACCTCCAGGACACATGACTTTCCAACCTCAGCGGCCCAGACAGTGGGTGTCACTTGGGGTCCTCCCCTCCCTGGGGATTTCAATAGACACTGAGGGTAAGGACACAGGCTTTCAGGGGGCCCAAGGAGATTCACTTCACCCCGGGCTCCCTGCCTAAATCGCCAACCCCAGGACCCCCTTGGAAATGAGCCTACTGGGCCACCAGGAGAATGGCCTCTGAGACCTTGAATGCTGGAGACCCAGAGGCAGCTCTGACCTCCTAATCAGTCCCAGACTTGGGACAGAGCTTAGGGGTTTTTTTTTTCAGATGTGCCAGGATCTTTAAAAGGCACCTTTCATGTCCTTCCTGCCCTCCCCCCCTCCCCCCCCCAGTACAGAGAGAAACCATCAGCAGTCCTGGATGAGAGGGACACAAAAGATCTACAGGGATTCCAAGACCTGCAGGCAGCCGCTCCAGCCCCATCCTCATCGCCTTCCTGTCTCAAGTTGTGATCATCTTTGCAGACCCTAGGGGACCTTAACTCAGTTGATTGCCACCCAGGCTCCAAAGGGGACTTCCTATGGCTCTCACCTAGGGAGGCTTGTGGCCTTAGAGGCTCCAAGGAGAGGCTTGAGCCATGACACCACCTGCTCAGAAGCCCCACCCTCCAGGACTCTGTCCCCTGATGTAGCTGCGTTCCTGTGCCACTGACTCTTCATTCCATGGACACAGCCCCTGTCCCAATGGGCTCGCTTCAGCACTGCTGTTGCCAGCTGCCTAAGATGGGTGACACCTGGTCCCAGCTGCCCTGGCCAGGGCCCCCCCACCCAGCCGTGCTGCTGGTCTCTCTCCTCTTAACAGCCGGGGTGATGCACTCGGACGCCGGCACCAGCTGCCCAGTCCTTTGCACGTGCCGTAACCAGGTGGTGGACTGCAGCAGCCAACGGCTCTTCTCCGTGCCCCCTGACTTGCCAATGGACACTCTCAACCTCAGCCTGGCCCACAACCGCATCGCTGCGGTGCCGCCGGGCTACCTCACATGCTACATGGAGCTCCGAGTGCTGGATTTGCGCAACAACTCCTTGGTGGAGCTGCCCCCCGGCCTCTTTCTCCATGCCAAGCGCCTGGCACACTTGGATCTGAGCTACAACAACCTCAGCCATGTGCCAGCCGCCATGTTCCAGGACGCCCACGGCCTGGTGCACATCGACCTGAGCCACAACCCGTGGCTACGCAGGGTGCACCCGCAGGCCTTCCAGGGGCTGGTGCAGCTCCGAGACCTGGACCTCAGCTACGGGGGCCTGGCCTTCCTCAGCCTCGAGGCCCTCGAGGGCTTGCCGGGGCTGGTGACGCTGCAGATCGGTGGCAACCCCTGGGTGTGCGGCTGCACCATGGAGCCCCTGCTGAAGTGGCTGCGGAACCGGATCCAGCGCTGTACAGCTGGTAAGGGAAGGGGCGAGACTGGGCGGCCATGGGGAGGGGGTTACTGGCCTCTCTGAAAGCAAATGCTCCAAGGGAGAGAGAGGAGTTTAGAGATCCGAGGTCCTACTGTGTGCCCTGATCTGTGCTCGCCTCTCTGTACACCAGCTCTTTCACCCACAAGTATTTGCTGAGTCCCTGCTCTGCATGCTAGGCGCGGGGGACTCATTTGTTAATGAAACAGGTGCCACCCTTGCTTCTGTGGCAGTTGTGACCTAACGAGGCAGACAGACAGTAAACAAGTAAGAATAACTAATAATAGACAGTGCTTATTGGGCTTTCACCGTGACCTAGGAACTTGCTGTGCATCATCAGACCCCCACTTTTATTATCCCCATTTTGCAGATGATGAAACCGAGATTTAGAACATTGAAAAGAGTAGCCTGGAATCACTTATTTAGAAAGTGACAGAGCCATGGATAAAACACAAGTTTATTTGGCTTCTAAGCCCTGTTCTCCTTGACCAGGCTGCTTTTTTAAGTGTTCTGAGTGCTGACAAAACTCTCAAAAAGATAGAAATGGCTAGCACTATTTACCTTTTTACTGGCTGTCATGTTCTGTTCTAAACATATTATACATTTTAGTTCATTTCATCTTCACATGAACCCTAATGAGCCCCCCACCACCACTACTCTACAGAGGGGGGAACCAAGGCACAGAGAGGTTCAGTAGCTTGCCCAAAGTCACACAGCTGCTAAGTGTTGGAGTCAGGAATCGATCCCTCGCAGTCTGGCTGCCCTCTGGCTGTATCCTGAAGAACCAGGTTCTAGGCTAACAGGAAGAATCAGGGCCTGAGCTCTGGGATTGCCAGAGGGCCTCTGCAGAGTTCTGCCAGGTTTGAACACGGGATGGAGAGTTGAGAGGGGAACCTGGGATGTGACTTGAACCAGCCAATCCCAACTGGAGTTGGTTTGGGACCTGAAGAAGCCTGGATCATGCAAGTTTGATGGGTGATGGGCCCTGGCCTCACCCTGTGGTGCCCAAGCCTGGCCCAGATGCAGGCAGTGTTCCGTGGGGACCCTCATCGCCAGCTCTCCTGTGTGGCAGTCCTGAGCTTTGGCACAAGCCCCCAGCAGTAGAAGAACAGGAATAGCTGGAGGCACTATCCCAGGGGCTTTCCCAGAGCCTGGGCTCAGAGTGTGTTCAGAAGTGATGCTGAATGAGGTATGAGGGGGAGGAGGACTGAGTGGGGAGCCCAGGACCGAAATAGTTTGGGGGAGGGAGGGCCGTGGGTCACGATTCCTGTGTTTGCACAGGACTGTGGGAGGGTATTCTCTGCAACCAAAATAGCTGGGGGCCGAGATGGGGCAGTGGTAGGGGGCAGGAGGGAGAGGCTGCCTGGAGCAGCTGCCCCACCTGCTCAGCCTTTTCAGGCTGCCTCTCCTCCCCCTTGTCCTGTGCTCTAAGGACAGAAGGGGCCTTCTGGGGTGCTAAGCTTCCCCCATACCCAGGCTCCTCTTCTTCTGGGATCTCTGAGGCTCCTGCTGCCCTTCAGAAGAAGCACAGACTCCCAGTGAGCAGGAGAGGGGTCCCAGATCCCACCAGTGCAACCTCATGTGAAGTCAGTACATGTGAGGGACCTGAGCTCCAGAGAAGGAAAGTGTCCACAAACCCACAGTGAGAAAGCAAACAGGCCACAGCTACAAAGCCAGGCTCCCTATTCCTCCAAAGAACACACTGCACAGCACACCACACTCTCCGGTATATCTCCTACTGCCCGTGTAGGAAGAACTTTCCCGTGTAGGAAGGATTAGGCGATCCTCTTCCCTTTGTCTTTTTCTGCTCTTCCTCGTTTCTCATGGGATCCCTGCTACTATCCATGGTCTTTGGAGAAATCCCAACACAGAGACACAGAAGGGTGTCCTTGGAATATAACTCAACTTTGAGACGGATCCCTTGACTTGCCAGAGAGTTTTGTCAGCCCCTGGGCCCTCATCCTGTACTTCTTCCAAATGCCCTCAGAGGCTCCTCGGGTTGGTCTACACCATTTGCCTTCAGTGTCGCCACGTTCCCCAGCTGTGTACTGTCTCACACCCACCCCAGTCACGTACACAATAGACTTGGGAGTTCAGCGTCTTCCGGTTCCGAGATGGTCAACTCCAGACACAGTCTTTTCCTAGGCAGGGTCTGGAGGACCGTGCATACAGCCTATGGGGACCCCCCCAACCTGGGGTTTGGGGCAGGTTGCATTCTTCTGCTGACTCCCATTTCTAAGGAAAATGATGTTCGTTCATTTCTCCGAAGGGTCAATCCAAATTCATTTGATTTTTTGCCCTCAAAAACTACAGAATGAATAAATACCATTTTGCACCACATAATTCAGAAAACTCCTTCACACTGACTCGCCTAGACAATTGGGTTAGATTATCCCGTTCTTATAGAAGAATCTTCCTAAGAGCCAGAAAGGCAAAAAAGACGTGCCCAAGGTGAGAGCTTGATTGACATTTATCCCCTGAATGAAGGGATGGCAGAACCGCTAGAGCATGCCACTCTTACTTCCAAAGCAGAATACAATAAACCCACAATCATCAGGTATTTGTACACGTGACCCCGGGAGGATGAGGTGGGACCATCAATGACGGAGAGAACAGTAGCACTGAAGGAGAAGCCCTCTCTTACAGAAACCTGTGTGCAGAATACGATGCCCACTGACCTGTTCAGAGAGACCAACATAGGAAAATAATAAAAACACACTTACATAGTACTTACTACATAGCAAGAATATATCATTTATATATGTTAACTCATCGAACCTTCACGACAACCCTTTGAGGTAGGTACTATTACCATCCTTATTTTACAGATGAAGAAGTCAAGATACAGGAGGGATTAACTAGCTTACCGGTAATCAACGAGGGAAAGGTAGAGAGGGGATTTGAACCTAGGCCAATAGCTCCAGAGCCCTTATGCTTAACCCTACACTTTGTGTATCTGGAAAAGCCACATGGGGTAGTAGAAAGTCCCAAAGCTTTGGAGCTGGACACAGTCATTCATTCACATACGCATTTCACAAAGATTCATTGAGCACTTACGTGGACAGGACATGAGTCTGATGCAAAGGATGCTGTGGGAAGTGCTTATAATCAAAGGGGTAGAGACAGATAACAAATGAGTTGTTACAGAGAAAAATTAAGCAGAATAGGTAAGATAGGGGGTGCCTAGAGAAAGGTGAAGTGGAGGTTGCTATTTTATGTAGAATCACAAGGGAAGCCTCACTAATAAGGTGACCTTTGAGCAAAATCCCCAAGGAAGTGAGAGACTGAGCTGTGCAGAGATTCAGGAGAGAAACATCCTCAAATGCCAAGGCACCCCGTCCCCACCCCCAAAGGGGACATGCTTGGAGTGATGGAAGAATGACCCGGAGATGTGTGTGGCTAGAGCAGAGGAGGAGGATAGGGGAGCTCTTGCAGCCCCCAGAGAGGGCCTTGGCTTTCATTCTGCGGGGAGATAAGGGGAGGGTTTAAAGCAGAGAGTGACATGACAGGACTTTGGGTTTGAATGGATGGCTCCGCCAGCTGTGTTGAGATGGTTTAAGGGCAGAAGCCCAAAGACCAGTTGGAAGGCTATTGTAAGACACAGTTGTATCCAACAAACATCCCAGCTCTACTATTAGTAGCTATTGGAATTTAGGCGAGTTACCAACCTCTCCTAGCAGCAATCTCCACATCTATAAACATATTTACCTTGAGGGCTGCTGAGGGGACTAAAGAAGGTAAGTAAAAAAATTGGCACAAAAAAAACTCAATAAGAAAGTCAACTTCTGGGTGGGGTGGGGGCTCTCCATTCTATTCTCTCTCCCTCAGGCACCTCACCCTCCCTGGGTTCTGTGTTGCAGATTCTCAGCTGGCTGAGTGCCGGGGGCCCCCTGAGGTCGAGGGCGCCCCACTCTTCTCCCTCACTGAGGAGAGCTTCAAAGCCTGCCATCTGACCCTGACCCTGGATGATTACCTCTTCATCGCGTTTGTGGGTTTCGTGGTTTCCATCGCATCTGTGGCAACCAACTTCCTCCTGGGCATCACAGCCAACTGCTGCCACCGTTGGAGCAAGGCCAGCGAAGAGGAAGAGATTTGACATGGGAGGGAAGAGTCCCTCCATGCTGCCAACCGCCACTGCCATTGACCACCAGATACCCTTCCTGGCTGCCCACTCTGGTCCCATGGTGCCCTGGTCACCTGTCATGGTTCAAGCAAGGTCAGGAGAGTACTTTTGAGTGAGCTTCTTCAGCGAGCCAGGCACTGTGCTAGGAACTGGCAATGTTAGATGAATCCACCTAGTCCCTGCCCCTCAAAGCACTTGCCCCTGACAGAGGAGAGAGATTCAGAAACTCTTCCCTTTCAGACAATTTGTCTGCACTCTGAGCACAGAGCTATGGAAGCCCAAAGGAGGGGTCATCAACTGTGCCTCAAAAACTCCAAGAGAATTACAACAGTGGAGGTGACTCGTGAGCTGAGTCATCAAAAACAGTCCGCTTTGTGAAGCAAACAGAGAAAGACAGACACACACAAATGACAGAGGCCAGGATATGCATGGACTGTTGAGAACCTGGAACAATCCCTGTGACTTTAGTCTACAGAGGGAAGTGGCTCAGGACCGGAACTTTCCCTCTGACACCCAATCTGTCAGTGCTTGGGGCTGCCCACCGTTGCCTCCAGAGGGTGAGAAGACCTCCATGTCAGCCCCCTTGGCTTCCTCCTACCAGCAGCTACCAGTGACTGCCCCCCACACTACGTTGCCAGCTGTAGCCTGCTGGGGAGGTCCCAGGTCGCACCTTCGCAGCCCTTTCTCCATCCCTGTCTCCTGCTTCTCACTCTAGCTTTGGCCTCAGCAGAAGACCCAGCAATGGGGCAACAAAGTCCTGGCACCCTGGGACTCCTACTCTCGTGACTGTTCTTGCCACGGTGCTCACCCCAAGGGACCTCACCGGGAAAGTCTACTGTGGGCTGCAGCCCTGTAGCATGAGGGTACAGGACTGAAGGGGAGATAGATGGCCATCACTGTGGTAATAACAGGACAATTTGCTCTTTCTTCTAAGCAACGCACTCATTTAAGCATAAGGGTGAGAGAGCTGTTAATCACCAAGCACTCGCCCGCCCGTGTCAGGCACTGTGATAAGCTCTTCTCCATAGGCAATTCCCTTTGACACACAGCAGTCTTTTGAGGTGAGCCTTGTCATTCCAGTTTTACAGATGGGCAAGTAAGGCTCAGAGAGGTTAAGGTCATATGATACTTATGAGCAAAATAATCTGTGTTTTTGGACTACCCCATCCAAGTTGGGGGACATCAGAATTCCCTCCAACGCTATATAAATTTCAAGTCAAGTAGTGCTGATGATGTTCCTATTAAGAGCCAGGCACTTTACACCTATGGACTCATTTACTTCCATTGTTACAGCAACACTGCCTGATGGTTATTATTCCCATTTTACAGATGAATTAATTGTAGAGAGCTGAGAGTTTTACCCAAGGTTATCTGGATACACTGTAGAAGGAAGGTAATAGGTGGCTCCATTCAGGGAAATTGTGTACACTCAGTCAGTCAAAAGTCAAGTAACTTCATGTGCACAGCACAATTATCATCATTGTTGTCATCATCTTCACCATCAGTGTCATCGGCTTCATCATTCCCCGGTGTTTGTTCAGCACTGGACAGCTCGTGAACCTCTTTGGCGTCATTCTCCTTGACTCTTCACAACCCTGCATGGGAGGCAAACCAAACATCATTACTTCTATTTCATGGATGGAAAAATAGAGACTCAAGAGTGAACGTGCCCTGCCTACACGCAGGGCTAGGACTCAACTCCAACTCAGTTCTCTTCCCAGTGCTGTCCCAGGTGCTTGAGGAAGAAAACGCCTGGGACACCTGGGTCGAGGGCCCTCAGATTCAGCAGCCATCAACATCCCAGTACAGCAGCTAAACAAAGGGCAGTGAAACCCAACTGCTGTCCAGATTTAGATGTGCTTACAGTGGGGCAAATCACAGCCTCTGAAACAGAAGCAGCCCAGGTAACATCTGAATAGGAGTCACCTGCTTTGCAATGTGTGAATAACACATTAGAAATGGTGGCCATCTGAAAAATAAGATTTGGGAAAACAGGAGAGGAAGCTGTGTTAACCTCTCCCACTCAGGCCCTGCTGTGTTGTGTTGCAAGAGAGAGATGCACAGGGTGACTGAAAGCTGTGGGTGAGAACCTCTGCACGATAGGGGAAGACTTTAAGGCACAGACCAACATTGGCAAGGCTGGCGGGGATGGGAATGAAAACATGGGCCCGCTACCTTGCCCCCAGCTCCAGCAGGCTTGCATCATCCCATCCTCCCGGCAGACCTGAAAGAATGAAGGAGAAATCCATTTCACCTTCTAAGAAGTTTTCCCTTACTCATGCTCTCTGAGCTACTCAACCAAAAGAGTGTCCAGAAACTTTGTTAGACCTGGAGTACTTGAACATTGTGTCCCTCGAATCTCATTTATAACTTCCGGGCCAGCGCCCTGCTCCTGCGACTCCTGGAGCAGAGCTGTTCCCTGTCTCTTCTTCTGCTATGTCCAGGAACTGCTGGACCAGGGCTGCTCTCCACCCATCAAGCTGCCAGGGACACCTTTGTCCATTCCTTCCAAAGCTAAAGTATTTGAGGATGAACTTGTAGAAATAATAGTCCTGACACAAATAGTTAAGCCTCCCATAGAGGGACACCATATACATCTATGATAATCTCCTAGAGATGCTTGTTTGCTGAAATATAGTTAATATATTTTAAGATATATACTCTTTTTTGCATAGGACTAGAACCAAACAAGGCACCAAATGCCCCTTGAGATCCAATGTTCTTTCTAATGAGACTATTTAGTCCCCATTAATGGCAAACTTTTCTGAGTAGGACATGTGGCTTTTAAAGAACAGATGCTTCTCCAGCTACTAAGAGGTCCCCAGTTAACTAAAGCACAATGAGGAAACTTCCCTTCTGCCAAGGAATTACTTTTTTCCCCCACCTCCACTACCAGCATCTTCTATAGGCTACCAGAAGCAAGCTTCTAGAGGAAATCTAGAAGTCCTGGCTAAAACTGTTCCCACACACTGCTGACCAAGAACCCATGATGGTGAGCCTACAAGGCTTCATTAAGATTTTTCCAGACTAGTTAACATGTAAGTGTTGGGGTATCTCTAAGACCATGTGTATGTTCATGAGGTTCCATGTAGTTTGTGTATCTACTGATATGGGGCCAATCTCTCTGGAACTTGATTTCTCTGACACAGTCTATTCAGCCATCTGTTTATTGTATTGTTTGGTACACTAATATGGAATCCCATCAAGGTTGGGGTAGGGATAGCTGCTCAGAAAATATACAGAGAGAGAGAGAGAGAGAGAGAGAGAGAGAGAGAGAGAGAGAGAGAGAGAGAGAGGTGACTGAGGCAGCCTAATGACAGCCTGACTGCTTCCCGCCACTCTCTATCCCTCAGAGACTTGTCCTTGTCACAGAAGCTTCCTTCATGCTGGGCCTGAGAATATCAAAGTTTAGTTAACTAATAGGGCTGTGATGGTCAAAGTCTAGACAAAGAAAATTGTTCTGTAGAAAAGGCCCCACATCTGCACCACACCAGTCTGTACTAATTGCTTCTGGTCACCCTCAGACAAACCCTCATCTGTTCTCCATCCCTATAGGGATTCCCAGAGAACCCTACAGAAATAGGTCCCCAGAGTTGCTATAGATTTTGCTGGATCCTTTCAAGGAGGCTGGTGTATGGAATTTAAACAGACCGAAATAGGTATTTCTCTTCATCCGTTAGGAAAGACCTACAGCCCCTATTTTCCCTATAGATGTCTTCGTTGATATTGCTCTGACATCCTTTCTAGCTCTCGAAGAACATAAGGAGACACCTTTCTCCATTCCTCCCAAAGCTAGAGAAACTTGTCTGCTCTCCCCACCCCAGAAGGACGCAAAGGAGAAATGAAGTAAGGAAGTCAGGCAAGGTCTTGCGTAAATCACCATTATGTTTGCCACAGCACTGGATGGAGAGATCTGCACCCACAGAGCTCTCCATTTTTCTAGCACTGTCCTGTGGAGTGCTGATGTCTGGGGGGTGGGAGGGTTAGGGAGGGGTGGGGAGAGGGAAGATGCCCACCTTTGTATGGAGATGATTTTATAACCATGCACTTTTGTAACTGTGAAGAATTTTTCATAAATGTACATTAATAATAAAGAGTGTATAGTTTAACAAATTTTCTAAAGAGTTGTGAAGAGGAAGAAGAGGGAGGGAAACAGGGAAAGAAAGAGAGAGAGAGAGAGAGAGAGAGAGAGAGAGAGAGAGAGAGAGAGAGAGAGAGAGAAAGAGAGAAAGGAACTAGGCGGAATCAAGAGAATGTGTGCCAAAATATACACACAAGAGGTCTACGGGGAGGGAGTAGATGGGAATAATTAGGAGATGTGCCAGCCATGGAGGGGCATGTGTGGGAGTAGAAGGAACATCACAGAAGCATATTTCTACCAGGCAAAAAAGAGTACGCGTGTGTCTGTATGCACACACCCCTATGTGTAGGCATATTTTGGTGCCTGAAATTATACAAAGAAAAGAGCATATGTCTTATACATGTTGGTGTTTGCAGCTTGGGTCATCCATAAAACATGCCAAGGCAAGTGGGTGTGCCAGTCTAGTTAGCATCCCTAAGGGGTGTGTGCCAGGGAGATGGCCCATACCAGCCACATAGGCAAAAGGACACTAGCTCAGGCATACATGTAAACCAGGAATTGAAATGCATGATGTAGGGGATAAATGAGGCCTTTACTGGTATAGGTTCAGTCTCTGTTCTCATAGGTTAAAAAAGAAAGGATGGGAATCTAAACCTCCTGAGTCTTGCAAGTGTTGCCAACACACCACTGGAAGTGAAATGATTGGACAGTGTACCTTGGGAGCAGAGACAGAAAAAGGAGGAGCAAAGGTACTCCTATATGTGCAGTGGCAGTCATTTCTATCCCAGTTCTCTAAAGAGGAAGTGGCTCTAAGCAGGAAGTGGATCCAACCAGGAAGTGGAAGTAGCTCTAAACAGGAAGTGGTTCCTCCCACCAATACATATTTTAGCCTTCTATTCCTTACATTCCAGTTACCACAGGGTACAGACAAGTACTGCATTCACAAAGTAAAGCCACTAAAGAGAACATAGGTCCTGACTCAGAACACTCAGAAAGACAAAGAACATGCCCAACCATAACTAATGTCATTTGCAGTAGATTGGAGGGAGGCAAAGCCTTTCTCATAAAATTAAGTACTTAATGAAGTACTTCTCACAGAAGCCCAGAACTTGTATATCTTATGTAGCGTGGTCCCTAGTGCCAGGCATATACCTAGAAGCTAATGATGGTGATGACATAGCATTTATTGAGCATGTAACATGTGCCAGATGCTATGCTAACCACTATACATGGATTAATTCACTTAATTCTCACAACAACCCAAGATAGGTACTACTATTATGCCCATTTATTGATGAGGGAACTGGGACTCAAACAAGTTAATATGTGCCCAAAGTCAAACAGCTAGGAAGTAGTAGATATGGATTTAAGCATTCCATAATACTTGGGACTAACTGACTTCAGGAGACAAGAACAACATGAGATGTTAAAGAAAATCCAATCTCAATCAGAAGGCTCTCTACAATTACTTGGTAAAAGCAAACTGGAGGGTAATAGGTAAAATGAACACATATCCTGTATGTTTTATTGTGTATAGCTTTGATTAGTGCATTGGTCAACGTAAGCTAATTATGATATCAGGTGATCCCAAAATCTCAACAGAATAAAGATTTGTTTACTGGATTGTTTAACATAATAAAGACTTATTTCGTGCTCATGTCACATTTCAACGCATGTCAAAGGTTCTGCTCCATACAGTTATTAAGGGACCCAGGTTCCTTCCATCTGATGTCTCTGCCATCCCTGAGGCCACAGAGCCCTCCATTGTACCCTCTGCAGTAGGGAGGACCTTAAGGGAGCTTGTGGATGGCATAAGCTGAAAATATTGCACATCAATTCCAGCCATGTTTCACTGGTCAGACCCAGTCCCATGGCTCCATTTAACCTCAAAGGAATAGACTAGCAAGTACCCGGAAGGCAAAGGAAACAGGGTTTGGTGAACCCCAATACCATCTTCTCTACTGGTCACCAAATACCTGTTTCAATCTTTCCCCCATACTTCCTTTATCCTGTCACCACATCCAGCTCAAAACTCAAGATCACCAATAATAATTCTCCACTAGGTCTCCTTGTGGTCCCATGACCTATGAAATTTAAAAAAAAAAAAGTTACTACCCACCCACTTACACATACCCAATATACAATGGTGATACAAGGACTGTGTAACAGCAAATGAAACCCTTGTTTGGAAAAGGGGAAACAAAAACACACAGCAGCCATGGTCCATAGCAATTCTGAAATCCTTGTCGGAGAGCACTAGGAAGGCCTCAGATCAAGTTCCTTTATTAGACCTTGGTTCTGCTTCCTGGTAGGAACTCCTTTGTTGGTCATTCTCTGTCACCTCTGATTGTTCTCTCTTGGAGGGTCTCTCTTTTCCATCATTCACCATGGCCACATCTAAAGTGGGGATTGGGGAGCATGCACTTTTTGAAGGTTGCCCATTTTCTTCAACCAGCCTCCTGCTGGTGGAAGTATGCTGGCCTGAAATTTGTTTTAGGTCTCAATGGTCAAAAGCTTCTTGATTCCATGTTCATGGTTTCTGAGCAATTCACCTCCCTGAAAAACCTGATAGACTTTTATTGTATTTTTTTCTACTTAGTTCAATGTTTCAGTGCACACACAAAATTCTTTCTAAATGTTTTTAAGCCTACCATGATTCCTTGCTTTTTCTTCCCTGGTGCCTTTTCTCTTAATGTCATCCTTGCAATTACCTGAAACAATAGATAAGAAGACCACATTCTTATTTTTAATTTGTTCTCACTTTGCTAAGCTAGTTTAACTGGAAAATTTGAGTGGGTCTTTTTGCTCAAAGCTTGTTCAATTTTACCTCTTATCATGGAGGTCTAGGAATAGTCAACTTTTCCAATTTTATCTCTTCTCATTTAGGTCTAGAAATAGTTAGCTTTTCCAACTTTTTAATGCTCTAAATTTTTTACCTTCTCCCTCTTCCTTTTACTTTCTATTTTCAAACTGCTCTATAACTAATTAAAACATTAGAAACCTGATTTGGATCAATTGGGGCTGAGACCAAAATGTTTGAAGCACACAAACAATACTGCAGCATGAACTTCATGAAAGGGATGACTGTCATCACTGAAAATGATCGTTGTGATAGGAGGTAAGGAAACTGAAAGAAAATGATAACTGTGGCTTTCAGAATGCCGACCAGAAATCACTAGAGCAGAGATAGGTTTGCCATTATAAGGCTAAGAGGAATTGATGGAAACAAGTTCCTACCCACGCATGGTGGTTAAGAGGCTATCTGAGGAGGAAATGTTGTGTCGTTGGTCATTACCCCCAACCCACTCACCATGGAGGGCAGAGATCGTAAAGCCACTATGACAGGGTTATAAAGAAGAGAATATTGGCAAGTATGTTCTTCTCCAGTTTTATGTTCATGGAATCATTTAGAAGTACACAGCATGGAATGCTAGAAAAATACATGATAATGTGGCTGATTTTTACAAAACTGAGGATTCTACTCCTATAGCTGAGCCAGTATTTAAAAGAGATCTCTATGTATATAAATTAAAACCCAAAGCTACGGAAATGGTTGGTATAAGAATCATAGCAGGTCAAGAGTTATATTCCCATATAAAAGAGCAGCTTATGGGCCGGCCGAGTGGCGTGATGGTTAAGAACTGGCTTGGGATGCCAGAGGGCCCCAGTTCGGATCCCACATATGAGGGCCAGTGACACTGCCCTCCACAGCTAAGATGCTGAACAACAGCTCAACCTGGAGCTGGGCTGCTGTGAGTCGCCTGTGACGGCATAGGCTGCAGCCCCTTTGGCAGTGGGTTGCCATGGGCTACCGTGTGAGTGGCCAGCAGCCGCAGTGAACAGTCGTCCAGAAGCCAGCGACTGATCTGCCTCGCCCAGGAAGAGCGTAATGATGGTGCCAGCTTGGGCCAGTGAAGCAACATCCTCCACAACTAGACTGAAGAACAAAACGACAGCAACTTGTCTGTTCCCCTTCCCCCAATTCCCCAGCACTGTTCCCATCCCCCCAATTCCCCAATAAAAATCTTAAAAAAAAAAGAGCAGCTTATGCCTTCATTCATTCAAAAATATTCCTCACACTTTCCCATATGCTGGGCACATATTACAAGGGTTTGGTGTATGGCAATGAACAAGATAAAGTCCCCACCCCTTGGTGCCAACTTTCTATATGGGGGTGGGAGTGGGGTGGGGGGAATAGAGGTAGATCAGACAATAAACAAGAATAATAAATAATTCCAGATAGTGAAAAATGCTGCAAAATAAAATAAAATAAAATAAATACATCAAGAAGAGGGTTGGGGAGTGAGGTTGAATAAGTAAGCCCGGATCAAGTAGGTGCTTGTGAGCCCTGGTCAGACTTCCCATTTAATGTAAATTCTATGGGAAACCACTGGAGAGTTTTAAGCAAGAGAATGACATGATCTGATTATATTTTCAAAGACCATTCTGGATGTTATATGGGACATGTTCAACAGGTGGGAAAGAATGTAAGCTGGGGTACCAGGGAGGGGCCTCCTTTATTGGTCCTATTGGAAGATGTTCTAAGGGGTACAAGTGTTGGTGAGTAAAGAGAAAAATTGCGACAAATTAGAGGCAGAGCCAGTGGGACCTAGTGCTGCCTTGGATATGGGAGAGAGAATAAAAGAAGAATCAAGGAGAACTCCAACTATTTTTTTTTATTTCAGCTGTAGTTATGCTCAGCAAGACCCAAGTAGCAGAAAGGCTATCATAATTCTATGAGGAGGAAAAAACAAAAACAAATCAACAGACAGCCAACAATCAGCAAGTCAGAAAACCCTGATGAGTAAGTTGGAAGGGGGAGGGAGGAAGCTGACAAGCAAACAGATTCATAATGACAGGAAACAGCCCAAAGCTAAACACTCAGAAACAAGGGTAGAAAAATCTGAACATACCGCATTG